AGACGCGTCCTGTCTGAGCTGGCACACAGAGAAATGATGCATATGCGACGCTGTATGTCACGTGGAAATGTTTTTCGCTGCACAGCGTCGTCGTTATAAACGCTCGCTGTGGCGAATTAAGAGTCGTACTCAATTCAAAAACAAAGCTTGTCATAGTATCATTTGCGATCAGGGTGAACACATCGAGTAAACATTAACACCCACACGCGTACAAACATATACGTTATACTATTATATGAAACGCATACTTGCACGTACGTACGCATGCACCCATGCACGCACGTACCCACTGGCTAGCAGGCGCATCTATCCTTTGCCATCTTTGCTATGTAGTTTAGTTGTGTTAATCATGGGATTTTTTCAACAGGGGATAGATTCTAGCACTCAATAGCCAATTAGTGGCTGAATGGCATGCGATTTACTTTCCGCGAAAGTTATTCTCACTCCCTGAATTGTGGGTAACGCGGCCCAGATTTGTTGTGAAGTGTCATAACTTATCGCCAGTTGAAGGCAATTTACCGTGGTCAGAAAAATTGGGCGATCGCAACGGGTCCAGATTTTTACCGACCTTTTTCATACTCATACTACGACGAAAATAGTAATTGTAATAAATCTAACCGTATTCCTAATCCTAGCCTTAGTTGAAAGCCGCGATGACACAGTGGTTTAGCGTGTCACTTTTCGCGCCAACGGCTGTGGGTATAAACCCCAGCAAATGCAGGGGATTTTCCCAAGGGAAACAAATCTTGGTCTAGTTAACACTGAGAACGGTTCGTGGACGACACTGGCAAACACGCATAACACTCGCGACTCTCTGCCTCTCATGGTTTCACCCTAACCCCTTTTGTTACTCCAATGTTTTATTCTATCCTACCTATATTCATCATAATTTTAGCATATATGTAATTTTTATGCTTGCCATAACCCGGATTTTTACCACTCGATTTACCCTCTCAATTCTGCAGATTTGTATTACGCACTATTCCTAACCGCCCTACCCTCAGCCCTTTCCTTCACCCTTTTCCCCAATATTTATTCTCCTCCATGGTGGAGCACATTAGTATACAGATTGGTATACAGTCGCATAGGCATAATAACGCTCATAGGGTCTATGTCCCCCTAGTTGTTACTCCTATGGGAGAGATTTGAACTTCCTATTTTGGAGCACGCCAGTCGCCCTACTTTCGAGCCACGCCCACTTTTTGGCAAAAATGAAAATCATTCGATTTTGTTAAATTTTGGTATGTGAATGTGTAAGGCTAGCCCCAAAACAGTTGTTACTCCTATGGGAGAGGTGACAACGTCCTATTACGTTTATTTCGTCTAACAGGTTAACAACTCTACAATCATACTATATGAATATATAGTATATCATCAAATATACTTTATATACGTGTAATATTGTGTTTTAGATTCTTCGTTACAGTAATTTGACTGGAATAATTTATTGTTTTTATTTGCGCGATATTCGAAAACCAAAATGGCGATCATTTAGGCGTAGCATCATCTCTCGTCAAGATTTCAGATTTTCAGATCTGAAACATTTATTTTCGCATCAAAACTTATGCATATATCATTATCAAGAGTATATAATGGGAGATATGCTATATACTGGTAGTTCTCCCATATATACTCTTGCTTTATATATCTCTCCTCCCTCTTCTATCACACCCAAGGTGAGCTACAGTGTCATTGACACTTTCATTTTGATATATAAGGAACTTCCCCCGTTAGCGCCAATGCGGAGATGAAGATTGCAGTATGTTTAATAACGTGTAATTATAATGATTGCTAACATTAATGATACTAATAGGTGTATTCATTCCAGACTAATATTGATTAGCAGTGTGATATTTATCGCTGGACGTAACAATGCCTTGCTTTGTAATCGCGCGGACATTTCATTTCGTGACTCACCCACTCACCTGATTACTAACGTCGTCGGCTCCGGTCCAGTTCAGCAGCGCTACCTGTCCGACGACCTGCACACCTGTAACACGTGGCGATGCACGTCAGCAAGGCCAAGCCGTTGATTTCTAATACTATTACTACCACTACTACTCCTACTCCTACTACTACTACCTACTACCTACTACCTACTACCTACTACCTACTACTACTACTACTACTACTACTACTACTACTACTACTGCTCACAGTGTCTATGACCCCACGGTACTGCCGGAACGTACCCTGGGTACGGTCCGGTATACCGGAACGTACCCTGGTAACTATCTGATATGGTTAAGGTTAGGGCTAGGGTTAGCCACAAGTTCCCTTCTCGCTTAACACTACGTTGGCGAGAGGCCTTCGCCGTGTAACAGTCGGAGAGCCTGGTCGGTTTAGGGCTAGGGTTAGGGAGTAAGCGTAGGCGACTCCCTAGACTCGTTAGTGGAGTAGGCAAGGTACGGTCCGGCATATTAGATAGTACCAGGGTACGTTCCGGTAACCGCATACCGGCCCGTACCCAGGGTACGTTCCGGCAGTACCCTGGGGGACATAGACCCTCTCAGCACTACTACGAGTACTATTACTACTACTACTGCTGCTGCTGCTGCTGCTGCTGTTACTGCTGTTACTGCTACTGCTACTGCTACTGCTACTGCTACTGCTACTGCTACTGCTGCTGCTGCTGCTGCTGCTGCTGCTGCTGCTGCTGCTAATGCT